GGTATCATAAGCAACAATTGCGAGACACTTGCTAGAGTCAATGTTTCCTTCCTTTGGTATCTACGAAGGAAGCCTAACGAAAACCGGACATGCAGTGAATTGCACCCTTCAGAAAGTCAAGGTCACTCTTGACGACATTAACAACTGAATGACGACTCATGTTCACTAGGTATGCAAACTTAGCAATGGTGATTTGCCAATTTCCGTGGATAAGGCCTTCCGTTTCCTTGATGTTCTCGGGAATCTCTTGCGCTGCGCTTGTTGTGGACACCGGGCATCAGCGGCTATTGTGTCTCTGTTTTAAGATTGTTCACCCACTTGTTAAGTCTTCCCTCTGCATCGCAAATATTGCCGTACACTGCCTGTAGCCAATGGTGAATTTTCTTTCCATTCGCACCTTCCGCAACCACAAGGAGTTTGTATGTGCTAAACTTTTCATTGGCATACTTCATTTTCGCTGGTGCATGTTTTTCATTATCGCTGTGCTCTGGCAGTTGGTAGCAGCAGTCCCACTAGGCCATGGAGCACTGTTAGAAACCGTCATAATGAAACAATGCCCAAACGAAAAGATTTGATTTTAGGGCAACAACCGGTAATATTTGTTTTTTATTTGACTGTACATCATACAAATACTATTGGAAGGCGCACTAGCGCCTTTAATCCTTTTTTCAGCTCCTTCCAGAAACAAATTTCAACCGTCATGAGCTCCTCGGAGAGTAACAACGGAATGAAATTTGGCACGAATCTTTTTTCGGCATAGAATCGCTCCAAAAAATTTTAAGCTCTACCTCCCTTGGGTTCGGTATTTTTTTTAAATATTTACATTTCCCCCTGTAGGTAGCCAATCTGAGGAAGTTTCCTAAGTAAAGAGACCAAACAAGCGAAAGATATTGACTCTTGGTGATGGAAGGTGTCCCTTTTTATCTTCCAGTGCATCATTTCGCTATTAACATTAAATTAGGTGCCATTCATTAAAATTCGGAGCGATCATGCTCAGGTCCTGTTCTGCAGTGTTGCACGATATACTAGTAATGCCTTAGTTTGGCCTGATTCATAAATTCTTCAGCCTTATTATCGGTATTTGGATTTTTTAAATGTATGAGATAAGTATGAGTGTCAAGTTCATTAGATAAGCTGATATTGAAATAATGGTTAACATTAGCCGATCGATTTGGTTGGACGTGTAGATATCTCAAAGGGACTTCCGTAAATCAACAGAATGGCACCAATAGTGTTTACCATGCATCCTAGAGGAATTTTATCTTCAGAACTCATGGAAACAACACCAGGAACTTTAGAAAAGCCAATGTAAAACTTATTATGTCGTCCTCCCATGCAAACGATGAAATATGATATATTATTTACATCTGTATATGCAATAGTTCTGCAGAAAAAACCATTGACGTAGGAATCGAAAAAAGGCGACTTGCAAAATCACCATTTTCCCGAATTTCCAAATTGCGATACATCTTAAACGAATGTACATTGAGTTCTGAAAACATTTAATTTCTTGCTTCATAGTACGTCCTGCTTACACAAATGGAAATACACTTTTTCCCAAAGTGCAGTCATTCGTGTACATTGTAGAATAATTTTGAATTGATATCATTCATGCCTAAGCTGATTTTGATACATTTTTAGTCATTTTCCCAGAAATGCATGGAAAAGAAAAATGATTCTCTGGAAATCCCTTCGTTGATTTTACGTTGATATTAGATGGCACGGATTACTGCATGATATACAATTTCCTTCTCATTTTGCCAATTTATACTGTTGATTTCTTGAGTACTTGTTAATTTTTGAACTTGCTCATTTTTTAAACAATATTTGGCGGAACAAAGGTCGCATAACCATGATTAACTTTTGGCCATGTATGCAGCTTACCAAATATTATTGTCAAGTTGTGATACACATAATTCGATTATGTGATGCGCACATCCTACGCCGATGGAATAATATTAATGGAATTAGTGCAGCATGTGAAAAATGTTTGTTGTGGTTTTCATATGATTATGATGATTTACATTTTTGGCCATGCTGGCTGATGTATCAAATATATATAGACATATTTTTGTCCTGGCGTATTGATCTAGTGTGCAAAGGTGAAACTTGATGCATAACTATTGGGATGGTGTGTGCAGAAAAATTCAGACTTTGGAAGGAAATACCCCAGGGCACATAAAGAGAGATGTTTTCAAATCATTGTTTTGCATCAGTTAAACTGAAGAACATGGAAAGCTAAAACATTCCATGAACTTAACAATGAGTTAAATAAAAAAATGGGAATATACAAGGTGTGTCCCAAAAGTATATGAACCTTTTCTATACAGATAATATATCTTTCCAGACACATATTGGTGATGTAGTGGCAAATGGCATTAGGAATTTTTCTCGTACCGAGACTCATTGCAATTGAACTCAAATGTAGAGATTTCCATTCGAAATGGAATACTCATGGGAAGACGTCCAAGCCAGGACGTTACATTATGCACCCTGTATTCATTGGGATCCTACCATCAATATACCCATGCTAAAGAAAAAAAAACGATTCAAGCTGTTATAGATTACTAAAATACCGTATAGAAGTACCGTATCTCTCGTTACGACTATTTCAATAAGCTAAAGACCTCCATTTGTTAGTTTGCTAGGAAATAACTTCACATAGTAATAAAGATGCCCTTAGCCCCAGAAGATTAATAAATAGGTATATACAGATCTTTCAAATAAACTAGTGGCAGGTAAACCTGCAGCAAACCGGAGGAAACGAAATGTTCTGTGGCCATGGAAGGAGTCACCATGATGTTCAGAGACTACCACCCCAGTAGCACCCGAACGTGTTCAATGAACGTTTCATTCAACTTATTGCCATCGTTCCATTAACGTCCTTAGGAACATTCTATTGCCTGGCCAAATGTTAAAAATTCAAAAGCAATGAAAAACAGTTAAATTCATGATTTCATTGAACTAACTTGAATTGGATATATCCATTGAAAGTGTTCAATAAAATGTGTTCAATAAAAGTGTTCAATAAAATAGGTATCAGTAAATCACAAGTTTACCGCATTTTGACCGAAGATTTGCAGCGGCGAAAAGTCTGTGCGCGATTTGTTCCGCACTCATTGGACGACTATCAAAAACAAGCCAGAGTGCTGCATGCCCAAGACATCATTTCGATCGCCGATAATAACCCAAACTATTTGAAAAACCATTGAAACTGGCGATGAAACATGGTGTTTTCAATATGAGCCACTCACGAAGCGCCAGAGCTCAGTTTGGAAGACTCCGGAAGAAACAACACCAAAAAATGTGCGCATGCAGAAGTCAAAAGTGAAAACGATGCTAATCACTTTCTTTGATTCGGCTGGGATTATCCACAAGGAGTTCGTTCCAGANAAACAATGCTAATCACTTTCTTTGATTCGGCTGGGATTATCCACAAGGAGTTCGTTCCAGAAGGCCAGACGGTAAATGGCGAATACTACCTCGCCGTTATGAAGCGTTTGCTGGCCAGAATTGCTCGGGTCCGTCCTCAATACCAAGCACCAGGCAGCTGGTCTCTCCTCCACGACGATGCTCCGTCTCACAGGTCCATCATTGTGCGGAACTTTATGGCCTCAAAAGGAGTCGTAGTGCTTGACCACCCGCCCTATTCGCCTGATTGGGCACCCTGTGATTATTTCCTTTTCCCCAAACTAAAAATTAAGCTGAAAGGAAAGCGTTTCGACACGATTTTGGACATCCAAAAGGCTTCCACCAAGTTTATTTCCGCCATCTCGGAGGAAGACTAAAAGAGGTGTTTCCAAAAGTTGTATAATCGCCGCAAAGCCTGCATTTCTTCGGAAGGGACGTATTTTGAACAATCAATAATTAAAATGATAAATATCACATGGGAAATTGATTTGTAACTGAAGTTCGGATACTTTTGGGACAGACCTTGTACTAGTAGTACGCTAGAAGGCGTGTATTTTCTACCATAGGAATAAGGAAGACGCCATGACTCTTGATTATACGATCGGCTAGGCCTTAGACAGCTACTTTCGCTCATACGAACTCTTCCTGGAAGCTGCCTGATGTTGGGGTATATTGCAATTGAAGGGTCCGAATTGCTCTGGAATCGAAACTTCCATATGAAATTGTCTCACCTTATTCTCAATGACTATCAAATCGTAATTCCATCGCAGAATGTTTTCCTTATGTAGTCGACCTCGTCCATGTCCATTACATTTTTATTTCTGACATTCTTGTCCGTTTTCTTGTTTCCGCATTGACTTCTGAGCAATTCAAATTTCTGAGGAGTATCATGTCAATAAATCAGTTTCCACATACAACCAATATTTTCCAATTAAACAAAGAGACCTATATTACCACCTTACCATCGGCATTCTTTCACAAAATTTTTCATTCGATCAAAGAAAAATGTTCAACTATTACACATTCAATGATGCAGATTCAAACCTCACCATGAAGCACATTTTATGCTCAAAATTGCCACCGCTAGGGTGTATGCTATCCCACAAGTGTTTGAAGCTGTCATGACTAACTCTTGAGAAAAGAGCATTGCAAGTTAAATGACTGACTATTAATTGCAGCGGTTCACCCAGATGCGGTTGTTTTGAAGACGGTTATAAGTAGAGAGCGAAGCTGCTAAAATTTCATCAGAAACATGGCGGCATGATATTTATATCGTAATTGCCTGATGAAAACTGAAGTTGTTTTAGAGCAACTGACAAAAACAAAACCGTAAGTGGTTGCTGCAAATACGAAATTATATCCTGAAGAGGCTCTTACGTATGCTGATCAATATCGTTGAGTACGTTTTCTTTCGCTTTTCCTCTAAATTTCTCAAATGCAGTGCAGCAAAGCAATTACTCTACCAATATTAGGGTATCAATTTGAAGGTGAGTGTGATATAGAGCGATTATATGAGACTCGGTTAGCAATGCGGAATATGCTATTTTGATGAATAAAAAAAGTTGGTCCTTCAACAACACAGGCTTCCGATGGCAGTTGAAAATGAAGTATCGTGCGAAGAAGATGAGGAAGATATGGACGACCTCTCTGGAAGGCAGAAGATGAGAGGTCAAAGGGGCAGCAAGAAAACAGCAGATAATGACGGAGATCAATGGAAATGTAATACGGAAAAAGTTGACGATGGCAGCAGTGATGTCAAAAGAGAGGATGAAGTGTGTATGTCACTGGCGCCGCACGTGTACAAGGAGCAGCTCTCACTGGTTGAGGTGAATCGAAAGATTCTGGAAAATATCTTAGCGAGCTATGAGAGCCAGGAGACCGCTGTTTCATTAAATGCATCAAATGGTGAGGTTTCTTTTCTTTTTTTGTTTTCTTTCGCCAGTTCTCTTGTTGCAGCCTGCTAGGATTGTTTAATATAGTCTATTTAGAAGCAGATCACCTGAAGATTCCTCACAATGAAGGAGTGACATACTGATTGTGGGACAGGTATATTGCTATTAATAAAATAAAAATGTATGTAGGAAGCGGAGAAAAACCTTGGAACCTTCTTTAGTAGACTGGAATCATAAACGATTTCGAACATCACAAGAAAGATTTTACCCGGAGTTCATATCAATATTTGTTCATATCGTAAAAATGTCTCAACGTTAAGTTGAATTTTTGCTTTTAACTTCTGTAGAGCAGCAGTGACGGTCTGTGCTCTTTTTACCAGAGCCAGTTCTTCTCATCCCATCCCCTTCCACGCATCTTTCATCTTTCAGATTCAAGCACTAATTCTGAAGAAAGTGATCAAAATGAACGAAAGATGCGAAAGAAGAAAAAGAATGATGAGAAAACCGGAATTAAAAGAGAAATGGAAGTAGGAATCGAAGAAGAGTCCTTCGAAAAGGATAATGACGATTGGGAGGAGGTGAAGGACATGGTCCAGAAGAAATTAAAACCTAAGAAAGAGAAATCAGCTGCCATAAAGGAAGCTTTAAAATTGCTGCAGACGAAGTTCAGTGACACGGACACGAGCGAGGAAGAGGAGAAATGCCGGAAATTAGAGAAAACCCGAGAGGAGGAAAGGCAGGATCAGGATGGTGACATCCTTAGTCGTGGAAAGTATGCGTTTTAGACTCTTCCTGGTACTTTTAGGAACGAGGGATAACTCTTGACCGGTTGAAATCCAATGTTTTTTATATCTTGTTATGTTTCATGCTATTTTATTTTCGAAGATATGTCCCTATATGTAGTCTATTATAATCATTGAAGACCTTGGAAACTGTTCAAGGAGAGGAGTGTTATCAAGTACAGAAAACTTCACGTTCGCCCCTCTCTTAAATTAAAATATTTTGACTTATTGGTACTGATGTGAGGAGTAACTGTCGTGAAGTAACCATATGAACTTTTATTCCTATATGTGCAATTTACACTGCTTTAAATATTCCAAGGGGAAGAAAGAGATAGTACATGAGAAATTCCATTAAAAAATGCAAAGTTTTCAGTCATTCTGCTGGCCCCATTCTGCTGGTCCTTGTACACCAGATATTGCTTCAGGCTTAGAGAAACAAAGAAAATGAATATACCTGCCGCTTCTTGCTGTCGAACCTGTAATCCAATGAAAGTGTTCCAAGAAGAGAAGACAATTTGCATCCAACTTCAGCCAAAATATAAGAAGGCTCTCTGTAAGCTGGTGACTATGCGACATTAACTTTTGCCTGTTTTGGGGTCATCTTCCCAAGAGTCAGTCTTCAATATATGTTCTGCTTTGATTAATCCCCAGTTTCAGAGAGAGAGAGAGAATGAGAGAATGAGAATAAGAGAGAATGGCTCCCTACCCGAAAAATCTTGACATTCACAAATTAAATGCATTAAATTTAACAGAATTCTCACTTTCCGCTATAAATTGATCCAAACATCGTAGGATTCCAACTAATTGAAGCAAAGTCATACAATTATTTTGGAAAGACGAAATATGCCAAAGGAAATGGGTTGTAATGGTCATTCTTCGATTAGTACCTTTACCCATAGAACATTAAAAAACAGGTGATAAAAGGGGAAATCTTGTCCGTGGGGTTGGCTGGAGGCGTTGTTCTTTAGGAAGGTGCGAGGGATTCTACAGTAATTGAGGGTTGGATGGTCTTTCAAGAAATTCCGGGACTTTGACTTTCATTAAATTTGGAGGAATTTTTTCTCTTTGGGACTAATACCATGGAACAGATCCGGAGATCGAGAACCGCAATTTGAGATAGGTATCACCTACGTGGCCTACCTACCCTTATTCTGAAATTGCTCATCTTGCCATATTTGACAAAGTTCATTAAGCCCAAAATACTGTATATCGCTCTCTCTTAAGACTGAGTGCTGGGTATGTCAAATACGATTCCTCAGAAAAACCGAATGTCATCGTCCATATCATATTTAACCTAAGCTATTTGTTTACAAACTTCTTTCATTTCAAGTATTTTGTCTCTTTTTGAGTTTTTATGGCTGAAAAAAATAATGCATCATGGAGGTGGGGACAGCCAATGATTGGCAATATCTACTAAGAAGATGAATTTTTCAGCAATTTCCCTTTTTTCAAAAACATTTGTACTCCCTCCCAATCTAGACCCTAGGACGACCTTAATTTAGTCCACCAGTGTAGTTACTGATATATTCAGTCCCAATATCCCAATATTGCATGCATGTTGAACCAAAAAGTAGTACTGAAGCCTCTCATAAGCTTCCCAAAGAGCCCGTATCAGTCACACTTGACATGCAGAAACCTCAGAATCCTATAGTTTTTGACGCAGTACCTGTTTTCGAAACTGCTGACTGAGCTCCAGTACTTCCGTATCGCAACGCTTTTTCTCGAAATCTGAAAACTACGAAATCATGTATAACATTGCTGTGAAACTTCAGCAAGAAAGGAGTTCTTGCATGCACAAAGAAGACAATAAAGAAATGAAACTTTGCATGTATGTTTTGCTTCATCGTCGCAACCTAACCGTGGTGCTTCCTGTTTATCATAGGAGCGTCAATGAATTCTCTGTCCATGCGGCTCAGCTGCATAACATCGTAATATGGAAGTAGATGATCTATTATGCCACGGCCAAATAGGAGTTAATGAATGTTGCACTGTTCTAACATGAGTTCACTGCCATGGTCCGTTATGCCAAGCGCCTATCAGCCATGTCATTCCGTGTCCCACTGCATTTGATACGACCTAACATTCCCTCTAACTGTTGGTTAGGATAATGTATAATTTTACAGTGTCAATCTGAGATTACTGCATTTTTTGGGACGTAGGAAAAGGCAGCACCAGATCCAGGACTTGGGTGGTTCAGATTTCGAGAATGATGAGGCATATAAACTAAAAGCAAAAAGGAAGAAGGAAGATGAATGTCATCACTCCAACGACTACTTTGCCACCCCCTCTCAAGTCAGTTTTATTTCTGGCTCATTCATCAGAGAAATAATGCATACGAAGTCGTCACGAAATTAGAGAAGGGAGTGCGCCTTCCTTCTATTATAAGTTGTCAGATGTGTTGCCTCTAAGTTACACATTCCATGTCTGCAATGAATCCACGTAGATGGCAGATTCTGACGAAGAGGACGACAATGTGGAAGTCACATCCTGTCAGAACAATGACTCCCAGAAAAAGAGACATAGAAGAAATATTTCCAAGATCCTCGAGGAATCCCATTTAAAGACGTTCACACAGGAAGCGATCTTGGAGGAAAGGCACCATCGTACGAGAATCTCAGAAAAGTGGAAACACGTGAGTAGAAACTTCTGAAATGCAGAAAAGAAGAAAAGCTTTTCCATATCTGTATCCACAGAACAGTTTTAACATTTTTCCAAACCTAACCGGCAATTTTATTCCGTTTCCTAAGGTGGGCTTTTGATGTCAACTTTCGTGTTTCATGTGCAGTTCGATGAGATGATGCCGAAGGAGCAGAAGGAAGCCATGAACCTATCACTAGCGAACGACGATCTGATCCTTGACTTCGACCAGGAGACGAAGGAGCGAGTGCAGGTGCATCCGATGCTTGCACAGAAGATGAAGCCACACCAGCGTGAAGGGATTCGATTCATGTTTGATGCCTGCTAGCGAACGACGATCTGATCCTTGACTTCGACCAGGAGACGAAGGAGCGAGTGCAGGTGCATCCGATGCTTGCACAGAAGATGAAGCCACACCAGCGTGAAGGGATTCGATTCATGTTTGATGCCTGCATTGAGTCGGTGAGGCGAAAGAACCAGGAGGGTGTTCTTGGCAGTGGTTGTATCCTGGGTCATTCCATGGGTCTCGGTAAGACTCTTCAGGTATGAAGGAGAATTTTTTCACATCTTCATTTAAACCAACCTTCTTATCATGAGATTGACCTTAGGTTTTCCTTTCAATTTCTGTCTACACCAGCATCTTGCACACAAAGTGAGGATACTTGGAGAGCATGAAATATAACATTAACGGTTTGAGGTATGGAAGTGGGCGTTTCCCATCCATGCCTACATTATTTTTTGCTCCTCAAGCCTCATACTTTAACGTCAGTGACAACCCATGTAGGAGCTCAGTTTTGGACTGTACTTACGACTATACCCCAATCGAAACTTTTCATCCCAATATCCACATGAAATACAGGGAGTCCGTATTTAAACGCAATATAGGGAATGTTTTGTCACCTTTAGGTGTAGATCGGCTAACGCTATATGGACCACCGGGTTTCATATCTGCAAGGAAAAATCCTATTGATAGATAGGATGTTTCTTTGCAGTGTTTCCTTCATCCTTCCAGTTATGCAACCCAGTGAGCTATGAGGCACGCTCTGAACTCCACAAACAGCGGCAGAAGTGACCCTATGTAGCGTTTAAATACGAACACCTTGTATATGTATCATATATATGTGTAGAGGATCTCCCTGACTTTGCTCCCTGTTGAGAGGTTCTCTTTTTCCCGTGCATAATGATGGTATCGTGTTTCTCATTAGGTTGTGGCTTTCCTCCATACCATTCTCACAAGCAAGGCACTTGGATTTAAGACTGCTCTTGTGCTCTGCCCGTATAACACAGTCCTCAACTGGGACCAGGAATTCAAAATCTGGCTGGAGGGAGAAGAACTAAAAAAAATTGACATCTTCAATATGGCCAAGTGAGGATGGCAGTATTCTTTATCAAAGTAGATTCTTCTCTGTACGTTTATATGTTTGAGATTTGGGTGCAGCGAGAAAAATGTCAAGTTGCGCAAGTATCGTGCAAAACGATGGCATCGAGGCGGCGGAGTCATGATCATTGGGTACAACAGCTTTCGAATACTTGCTAACCCCAGCAACGAGAAATTGAAAAAAAGGCATCGAAAGCGGTTCAAGGAAGCTTTCATAAACCCCGGTAAATCCACTTCACTGTATATCCGTCATCCTGCTTCGCAGGATATTTCGTAGACGGATGGTGTGTGTTTGTGGGTGTGTGTTAATGCAGGTCCGGACCTGGTGGTTTGCGACGAGGGGCATATCCTCAAGAACGAGAAGAGCCTCAGTTGTCGAATCCTGAATCAGATTCGGACCCGTCGGCGCATCGTTCTCACTGGAACACCGCTGCAGAACAACCTGAAGGAGTATTATTGCATGATCCAATTCGTAAAGCCCAATCTCCTGGGAACCATGAAGGAATTCACCAACCGCTTCGTGAACCCGATCGAGAACGGACAGCACAGCGATTCCACAGTGAAAGACGTGAAAGTGATGAAGCGTCGGTCCCATGTTCTTCATGGTTTCCTGAAGGACTGCGTCCAAGTAAGTCCTCTGTTGTAACTTCCATTCCCTTTTCTCATTTTCTTACAACCCATGTACTGTTAATAATCATTATAAGTTGTTCTACAGAGGAAAGGTGATGGGGCGCTTACGCCGTTCCTGCCTCCTAAGCTGGAATACGTTGTTAGCGTGCGGCTGAGTCCCATTCAGATTGACCTCTACCAACATTACTTGGAGAATTACTGTCGGATCCGGAAAGGGCTGAGAGGTGGCGGGGCATCCCTCTTCTCCGACTTCCAAGCCCTCTCACGCATTTGGACCCACCCAAAAACCCTCATCATGCATGAGAAGATGATGGAAGTGAAGGCAAGTATCCTAAGAGAAAAATGAATAAATACTCAAAATGAGATAGATCAGAAGTGGAACTACTTCATGAACAGTAAAACCTTTCACAGGTATCCATTATATTCCGTTAAAACGAGAATGTGGTCACATCAAAGTAACAATTTGTCACAAGTATTGCAACAAATGCAAGACGCTGCCATTTTAAATGTTGATAACACAGACACATCGGAGCAAGATAAGTTTCCTAAGTCAGGAAGCATTACTACATCAGCAATATTACCAATTAGTAGTATGTCTCTTTCCGAGACCGAGAAAGAATAATGAACAGATGACGAAATTCCCCAAGTACACATATTCACCCCATTTAATCTCTTGCTAAAATATAAGTATACTGTATTAGTTGCATATGATTACTACAGAGAAGGTTTCGAGGCATGGTACTTTGCACGAAGTTTTTATAACGTATGCGGTTGAATGAGCCAGACAAGAAAATGAACGAACCATCTCAAATTATGCTCCATAGACTTATGTAAGTTACTCTGAAGGAATAAGGAAGGAATTGATCCGAAACATCTACCGTTTCTACGAAAAAAAAAAAAACATTTTGCAAGTTTAACTCAGTTGCAGAGGAATTTTTTGAAGCAAGAATACCTGATTTGATTGCAGAGGAAGCGGAATCAAGTATTTGATAAAGGTGCCGACCCTTTCTCTGGCCCTCGATCCTCTGCTGCCTCCGTTGGACTTGAGCCAAATGGTAGAGTTGCTCCTCGTTCCTCACACTCACCAATTCTTGGTCTTGGTCGTAAGGAAATATGATTTATTTAGTCCTGCTCATTCGCTCTGTGCCAAATTGGGACATGACCCTGAATGAAGTTTACAATCAAGTTCAAAATTCCGCAACCATATATTCAGGGGAGACTGGTAGCGTAACAAGATACCTTGTGTAGACGTCAAATCACTTGTTTTGGGAAAGGGTATTATTTGAAATGATATAGGATGCACTTCGCAAAGAGATGGAAAATAATTTGTCCTGAAAGAGTTATATACTACCGAAAATTTACAGAAAATGAGAAATAAGGGCTGGTTGCAGAATGTATTCCAGAAGAAGATTGGGAATGAAATGTTCTATCAATACCATTGTCTGGTCAATATATATCTATTTCGACAAGACTTGACATTTTCTGAAAAACGTAAGAGGTAGTCATAACTAGAACTAACTCTATGATTGAGTTCATGATGAGAGAAACCTGCAGAAATGGGGAGATATTACAGATAGATGGATGAAAATAGAAACCATCACAAGAGACCTTTTTTTTTAAACCCACAGTCCATAAGGAATTATTTTTGTGCTTTATCAGCTGAGGAGAAAACTCAATCGTTGTGGTGGAAGAAGATTATTGAAGAGTCGGGCGTGGATGTGGAAGATTATGAACTGAGTGGGAAGATGGTGCTCCTCGCAAACATCCTTCATTACTGTGAGATTTTCAAGGACAAAGTGTGAGTCTCTTTTCCGTAGATTGTACTGTACTGTATACAGAGTGCCATTTTTTTTCGGCCACATTTTCTACTCGTATTTTGGATGTGATGCTTTCAAGGATTTTGTTTTCTGGTTACATGTAATGAAAGGAAAAAAGATTCAGCTACAAACTGCTTTCTTCAGACTTGAAATATCTTAAATGATGACCTTGAAAATATATTTTGAATTTCGGCTACGAAAAATCTGCGTTGCGTTCACCAACTCGACCCAGCACTCAAGAGACCCTGCACTCGACCCTGCACTCAAGAGAAGAGGAAGGAAATCGCTGACCTTAGCAGACGTCGTGAGGCTGTTTGGATGTGGCAGCCTCCGTATGCCGCCGGTGAGCGCAACGCTGACTTTTAGTAACCCATATTCAATAACTTTTTTCTAGGTCATCATTTACGAAAATTCAAGTCTGAAAAAAGCTTTTTGTAGCTAAATCTTCCTTCTTTCCATCACATGTCAACAGAAAGAAATTCTTGAAAGCATCAAATAAAAAATGAGTGTTGAAAATAGTGCAATATTTTTTGGGCTACCCTGTATAATCCTCCCACACTCGGGCTTTATCCTGAATTTTATAAGATGATGATAGAGCTTCAGCTACGATCGGCAAAGTAATTTTTTGGCTGTTGGGGACTAATATCAAATTTATCAAACAGTATACTTCATATGCCAACCTATATTTCACATGTATGCTGTTGACTGGTAATAAGTACCTCCCTTCAAATGGGTACGTATTGGATATAATGTTCATCGGCGACAAACTCCTTTGTGTTGAGAGCTGAGAAACTACTTTTTTTATTAATTGCTAAGAAACTTAAGTCTTAATCAAAAATTTGCTTAAACTGATCAGTATGTACATGATTCTTTGCCAATATATTAGTTTTGGAATGTTTTATAGATAGACAATTCATGACTAATTCTCAGACTGGCTAATCTTGTCGACAGCTTGGTGTTTACGCAGAGCCGCCTTTGCCTTGACTTAGTGGAGCAGTTCCTTAAGTTTCTTGCCTCAAACCGGAACAAAATCTTTATGACGCTGGATCGCGAGACAGTCCTCGAAGAAACTGCCGAAACCCCTGGTGCCAATGACGTTGGTTCAAAACGAGGAGAGCAAAGCCAGGAGTACGATCCGCGCAAGTGGTCCTGGGTACAAGGTAGGGACTACTTTCGCATCGACGGCAGTACAGACGCATGTACCCGGAGGGACATCACCACTCTCATCAACGACCCGGAGAACCATCGGTATTTCTAAATGCACTCTAAGTAACTGGTTCATAGAGGACTTTTGAAAAAAGTATATTCATAATTCACTACATCCACAGGGCGCGATTATTGCTGATATCGACAAAGGCTGGTGGAATGGGTATCAACTTGGTGGGTGCGAATCGGGTGGTTATCCTGGATACCTCGTGGAATCCTTCCGACGATGTCCAGGCACTCTCTCGCGTCTATCGAATGGGGCAGCTAAAACAAGTCTACATATACCGCTTCTTTGCCAAGGTTATATTTTCCCTTACATGTTCTTTTGGGAAAGGAGTGCTAAGTGTAGAATTCTGAAATCGCTTAATTCTTGCCAACAACAGAGTTGTTGTTCACACATGTTTGAAAGAGAGGACAAGAAGTACGTTAATAACAGAATGAAAATATTTTTTTTTCTCCATAATCCTGGAAACTTCCTGATGCATATCTCTACATGTTGACCGCCACGTGGCACGCTAGTGCCACTTTCGCCATAGGGAAGAACAATTTTTCCAAACCCCTTTGGCGGTCAACTTGTTAAATATAGTAGAATAGTAAGAATGCGATAGGGGCCTGAATGGGGTCTGGATACAGGTCGGTGAAAATGATGAGGGATGGTAGCAGGTGACGAACAATCCCAGGCACTGAAGACAGGAGGTGAAGGATCTATCGATTTTTCTTCCCAACAGAGCAAGATGACTCATTCCATGTCATCGATTCATTCGTCACTCGGGGAACATGTGATCATATAGCGCATCAACTGTGTATAGGTTTGATTTATTTGGGTCTCGGTTCATATTTGGTGGGGGTCTCTTAGAATTCACGTCATTGGCGTCCACATCGAAGAAAAAAGGAAACCACTTCTTAAGAGGAACACAGATAGGCCTTCAAGTTCCTTTTCCAGAAGTTTGTGAATTTATGAAATCGGAATGACAACCTTGGAGCGTGAAGTTTAAGAACATAATTTCAAGAACTTTGTTCTAATATTCAATATTCAAGATTGTTAGTGATATGAAGAGTTGATTTCACCCATTTCGGTATCACGTGTCGAGGTCGAGCGTTCCTTTATTTTAGGGTAGACCTAACCCTCTTCAAGCTAAATATTTTTGTATATATATATATTTTTTTTGCATATCCTAGTTCCTTAATGTCTAGTACCTAGCGTCCACATTGCCCCCTACCTTTTTGCCTGTCCATGAAAGCATCCTGTTTCTTCTTAATGATAGTCACAGAAGTGGCAGCCACTACTTCGTCATCTAACGCATTCCACGCCTTCACCACTCTGCAAGTAAAGAATTCCTTTCTCGACCTGAGCAGCACCTGCAGTTTGTGCAACTTAAGTTTATAACCTCTCGTTCTCTTGCTGCCATTAAACCTGGAAAAACCTACCACACTGGACATTATATATTCCTTTAATTATCTTAAAAGCCTGGATGAGATCGCCCCTCCTTAACTTTCGCTCGAGCGAGTACAGTCCCAACACTTCTAAACGCTTCTCGTATGAGAGTCCCCTGACCTCCTTGCGCAGCGCCTTGCCCATCTTTAACTTAACTCTCATATTCACGATCGTCTACTCGGTGATAGAAATATACTCGATGCGCGATAAGGTCACCTCCTCCAAAGTCGATGCCGAGTCGGATTCGACAGTGAAAACGGAAGCGAAGAACTCGTTAAGTATACTGGCCATATCCTTATTACTCACACATACGTCAATGCCCGAAACGCATTTGCGTAGTTCCTCAAAATTAGCGTTTTATAGTTGTAGGAAACCTTCCTCAGTTTGGCGCTACTCTTCGTCCGCTTGATATTCCACGTTATCGGGCAGTGGTCCGAATCTCCCAAGTTATCCTGTACCTTAACGTCTCGTAGCAGATCGTCATTCGTTGCAAAAACTAAATCCAATAAAGCTTCCTCGCGAGTCAGTTCATTTACGTACTGAACGAGAAGAGCGTCCTGAACTGCAACGAGAAATTCCCTATCCCTTTCGCACCCCCCTCGCGGCACCGACCAATCTATTTTGGGCATGTTAAAGTCACCGAAGAGCAATACCTGCTTCGAGATCCCGCCGATCCTACGCATGAGTGCAAAATGAGCTGCTTCATCTTCGAGAGAAGAGTTAGGGTGCCTATGGGGGTTAGTTAGGGGGAGCCAACAAGTAATGACGCCTCACCAACTGTTCCAAAGGGCAACTGAAAATATCCCAGCTAGTTAGATAGCTAGCTATCCCAGAAAATATCCCTCAGGTATTGCAGATTGGAAGACTACAGGAGAGAGACAAAAGTTCCTAGACGAAAGATTTGTGCAATCACGTACGGTTCCTGGAACACTAGAATTTCGTTCCATTGACGAAGGAAACAGTTGCTACCAAAGCGTATTCTCCTCATATGTTTCAAAAGTAGAGAAAGTCATTATCCAGCAAGATGATCCTGCAGTTTGAAAGCTTCGATCATGAAAAACGGAGTGTTCTTCAACTTGGTCCAGTATTAGTTTGAGTTACGTTTTTTTTTAAACGAGTTCTTGTCACTGGTATTTTCGCTTTTAGACAATTATGAGGATTTTCATGTATCTACTATCACTCTAATGTTTATAACTCCTGATCCCATGGCAGTCCCAAGTTGAAAATGTGAGCACTACTGCATAAGAAATGGAGAATGTTATGGTAATTTTTTCGAAGGAAATAAAAATTATCGTTTTCCCGGAAAAAGGCCAAAGGTCAGACCCTTTGACCTTTATATTCGTTGAATGTCCTTGCGTTACATATAATTTGAAAGGGCATGAAGAGCCATTAAAATGACACCAATATCAGCTTTTTATGTTGATTAAAAACAAAACCCATGAGCGCTTAAATGATGACGACTTAACCCAAAATTGGTCAATTTTTCCTATTTTCAGATTGCTACATCTCTGGAAGTATAGGATGTCCCAAAATTAAAGTCCCAAAAGTAATCGCGTGCTATTCAAGCATCGTTCAACGAAAATCCAAAAAAATTGGCTTACATTTGGATTTTGAAACAATTTTAGTGCGGCAAGTTTCATTATTCTCAGTTGAAGCTGAATCGATTTTTTAACAGTTTATCGAGATCACAATTTTCCAACCGGCAGGCGAAGCCCGTTTGAGTCATGGTTCTGAATTCTGACAGTTTAAGTATAGCGTAAGTGAAAAAATAATTTTTAATGTCGTATTCTACGTTCGAAAGGCTACGTCTGTTTGCTAGTATGACAGTTTCAAGAGTCCTGTTCTGATTCAGAGAAAATTTGCCCAATAATTTGGAATGGAAAAACCAGCTCTGGGACAAAAAACTCAAGGAATGGCACTTGAAGTTTCTTGAAAGAGGCTCGATTCATCCAGGAAAACGAGGTCCGAAGGCTAAAAGGGTTCGGTTTGAGGAGAATGTGGCACAGGTGCAAGGACTGTTTAAGAGAGCTTCCTCAATCACAGTCAGTCGCACAAGGATTTGAATTCACTCCAGATGGCCATGGAGCAGCTTGCGCTTCCTTGACTCCCGATTTTTTCCAAGAAAGTTTGCTTTGTTTCAGGGAAAGGGTGAATCTCATCTTTCAATATGGTGGTGAGCACATTGAGAGCTCTTAATCAATGCGGAGTTGATAAAATGACTTGATTGTTTGGTAAGTAAAATTTGATGATATTCCATGTACATGCTAATTTTTGTGAAATTTCAACAAACGATGCTTAAATGGCACGCGCTTGCTTTTGGGACTTTAATTTTCGGACACCCTGCACTTGAGGTAGAGAGCTGCAATTTGGCATGGAAGGATTTTGGTTGGTTTGTTGGTTGGTGCAAGTCTGGGTGTAGTATAAATTTCTGGCAGAGATGGCAGCAGAGGCTTAAAGGACTCACCGAACTGTGTCGTGTGACCCACTAGCGCAGGAGTCGGATACCTTTTCGGCCATGTGAGCCAAATTAAGATTGAAGCAAGTGCTCGTGAGAGAAAGATTTTCAAAATCGCAGTTTTTTTTAATGAAGTTGGCCACATACATACGCATTGTTTGACGTTTGAGAAAAATTAGGAACAACCATTTTTTTTCACAGAACAAACATTTAATTACAAATGCGAACAGAATAACCACCAATCATGCAAAAAAATAATTTTCATTTGTATTGAAATTGAACTGGCATCAGGGGCAGATCCAGGGGAGGGGGGGGACCGCCCCCTCTATGGCCAGGTTACCATTCCATTTTTCCCCCGTTTTTTTTTAAAAGTAGCTTCTACATTATTTTTTTTTATTGGGGGCCAGTGAAATAGGTATTCAAGTTTTCACCCCAGACGAGAAATGAAAAAGGCGATAGAGCTGAGAGTGGTGGAAGGCGGGGGGGGGGGGTCGGTAGGAAGTTAGGAAACCGCACCCCCTTATGAAGAGTTTCTGTATCCGCCTCTGACTGGCACAACATCAATTTTTAGATGCCACTTGCCTTTAAAAACAAAAATCTATTTTGGTGAACATTTTAAATCTTGAATGTTACCGGTTACCTGGAAAAGAAGCTTAAAAGTTATGAACCCTGCTCAGAACAATTGATTATGGAAGTTGGAGTGCGTGAAATGTTAATTTGAGCTGTATTAAGTTATCCGTAAAAAAAAAATATCCAAACTCTATGCGACTTTAGCTGAGTTTTTTGTCTCAAGAAGTTCCCAGGAATATTGGTGTTTAAAAGAACCACTTTTCGTCTTCTGCAACCTGTGAACCAAATTTGACTTTTGAGGCGCAGATTCCCAACCCCTGCTCTAGCAATATTTGTCAGAAGTTTTCATGACCCTGACCGAAATTCTCGTGGTATTCCTACATTCGTTTGTTAACATTAGCTGTCCTATGGCAAATAAGCCGTGACTGAACTGATGATATTTTTGCTCTTGTGTCATTAGATACAGTATGAGTATTAGATGAGAATATCACACTCTGAAAATGTAATGAAAATATCCTTCAAATTTTGAGTTTCTCACTTGAACCATTCTTGGGAAATAAATGTTTTTGTCGCTGACAGCAACATTTTCTGAACGGCACAAAAATGCTTGGCAAGGAGAGGTTGGCTGGACCTTCCGACACTCGGCAGCGAATGTGTTAACTTCTCCAGTCCAGTCAGACATTTTTCTTTGGTGTCTGTATCGTCGGCCCATAGCTGGGGAGGCTGGCTCGGAAATCTTCAGCTTGACATTGGGCCGGCAAATTGACACTTGTGCTGCCGTTGTCCCAGCTGTCGTTTCTTCACTAGGCAGTACATGGTAGCAGTGATTAATGTGCAGCTGGTCCAACACAGAAATCCCCGGGGTTGAGCCATACAGTAGCCTCAGGCAAACCATCC